GGGTGTGTAGGTTTTAGTCGTGTGGGGATGCCCCCTTACGGGGGCGTACGTGTCTTTTGGTGTATTAGTCTGTCTAGTATATTGTTTGTCGGGGGTCGCATTTTTAAAGAAATGTATTCAAAAATAATGGAAATAACTGATAAATAAAGTAAAAACTTACCTGGGCATAACCCCGGCACAGATACCTGTAACAAAGATGCCGACGGCCGCTATGCTTAAGCCGGGGATTAGGTCGGTGGTTAAGAGGAAAGAAAAGGATACTTTCCAGGTAGCCTTAATAAAGGCAGGTAGATCTTGCTCGTTGCAATGCACTTCACTTGACAATAAACACGTCCGCTCAGTTCGACCGCTCGCACGAGAATGATTTCATACTTGTACACTTGGTATTTGAGTATCCATATCACTTTTTAATATGTTGGTATGCTAGGGCAAATTAAAGCATTTTAACAGCATCTAACGGTTAGATAAAGCAACTTTGGATAGTCAAGATTAATTATATTGGCCCCAAGGATTTGTGGTGGTTCCACATACAAGAACATTAAGACACCCTGTATTATATTCATCAAATAGTTATAATTTGTAAATTTGATAGTTTTAAAATATTTTTTGCTTTTTAAGTAGGAACGATGTTTGTATTTCATAAATTGAGTAGAGTTCATTGGATTATTTGTTAGTCTTCTGAGAGATTTAACTTACACTAACACAGTTAGAAACAATCAATAATAGGTAATTTAAAAATTGACAAAAAATATTGTTGGGAATGGCCAATATGTACATTCAGAAAATAATGCATTATACCTTGTGGCATACATATTTTTAAATACAATCTGAAATAATTCACAGAATTATTAATGAAATGCAGATAAAAGTTAGTTATTTTATTGTGTTTCTCAATCCCATAAAAACTTTGGTGCATCTTAAATTCATGCATAAATCATTAACAAAATTACTAATGAAAGAATCCTTTTCAGACTTTTTATTTTCAAAGAGGATAACTAAATATATGTTTGGTTCCACTGTAGTGAGAATATAGGTGCACTGTTCCTAAAATAGAAGTATTAATAATAAATATTTTTTTAAATAAATTTTAAATACTAACCTGTGAACTAAATTTGTAAATAATTTTATCCACTATTGTTAATTCGTTTGCTGTATCTGATATCATTTTAAGGATCATTTCAAGTTGTGGTGGACTACGCTGCAATTTAATAAAGTAACAATTATAACAAAATAACTGCTTGTATGTATGACACTATAGTATTTGTAATGTTATAAAAATTTGGCCAACAAATAAGAACGTGTAAATATTTCAAGCTATCTTAGAAACAGACAATGAGATATACTGTAATATAATGAATAGTGTTAATCTATTTTTTGATTTTGACAACTGAGTGGTATTTATGCCGTTGTTGAATTAAAAATTTGATTTAAATGTAGTGGTACCTACAAAAACAATTGTAAATGACCACAGCTTGCTGCAAATGTTCCTGTAATCATTGAATAACTAACTGTAATTCCACAACTGTAAAATGTGTTTACTGTATTAACGCAATACTTGATTGTAATTACGCTGCTTGGGATACAAATACAGTTATAGACAAACACTTAATCACAATAAATATATTTTTGCTGGTAAACAGTAATTAAAAGAAAATGTTAGAGAAATTACTTTTTCTGAAAAGAAATTCTAAATCTTTCCAAAATTGCACACATACATTTTATTATCAGATTATCCGCGGTTTAAAATCAAAAACTCAAAGTTCAAATGCTTTATATGCATGCCAATTTAACTGCTTTAACAGAAACTTGCATCAAGATCAAAATAATGTGTAAATTAGTGAAGTGTTTTATCACTAAATATTATTCTACAAAGAATCTTAATGTGAATCACATATGCAATTTCACTAAAAACTGAAAATATGTTTGATTTAAAAATTGTAATCCAAACCTTATGACGTTATCAACTTGTGACATACTAGACTATGGAGGTTATTATACTCATAGAAAACTTCTTATTTAAGGAAATTAGGCTGATATAATCTATCTATCTGTCTAAGGCTTTCCATAGGTCGCAGGGCCGGCTTTTATACATGTTTCTGGACCTACATTAATTTTTTTTTTAGATTTCGTCGGAACCTAACAAATAGGATCCTAAATGCTAATTGTTTTAGCTGAAAATCAGATGTTCTCTAAGAGTCAGTCCTGAGACTTCTCTTGTTTGTTATTTTTATAAACCATATTTGGTGAGACTTTCGTGTGAATGATCTATTATATGCTGATTACTTAAAATTATTTGTTGAAATTAATTCACTCAATGACTGTTGCCTTTTGCAAGATCCCACAAAGACACATTTGTGGTGTCATAACAATCTGTTCTTATTCAATATTCGATGGTAATCTATTACTACTGAATATTGGAAAATGTTGGATAAGCAATGTATTCAAAGAAAATAAATTGAATAATTTTTGCCTATGCCATAAATGATAATAAACTGGGTTTAAGGATTTTCGCATTATTTTTGATACCAAATTGTCGTTTATTGTTCATATCAATCACATTATATCGGGTGCCTAATAAGTTGTAAGAATTCATCTACGTTAACCACATTAGCATCTGTTGGGTCCAAACTGAAATATGGGAATTTTAAATCACTGAATCCTCATGCTCAAATTCATGTTCAAAATTTAGACCAAATTCAGAGAAAATATGTTAAATATTTGAAGTTTCAGGTCGGTAGTGTCTATCTGCCTCAAGATATCCCTCAATTTGAGTTACTAACAAATTTTGTACAAACAGCACTTCGATACACTCCGCAAACAAATGTCCGAACATTTTCTCCCCTTTAAATCATGTGTACTAATTATACAGAGTGTCTCACGGTGACGGCCCATTAGAATTATTTCAGAGACTGCTTCGATTTAAATTTTGAAAATTTGGGAAACCGGGTTTTCAGGCATGCCCTTCTCAACCAAAATAATGGCGTCCACGTACCACTTCCGGTTATACCGGAAGTCGCCATCAACTTGCTTATTTTAAATGGAACACCATATATATTATTGCAATTTTGGATTCTACGTGTTATTTTAAGTGGACTTTTATGAAGTTTCCCTATTCCTAAAATTAACCGTTTTCGAGATATTTAATTTAAAAAAAAAACTGACTAGCTTCAAACCATGTGTGTTTTATAGTAAGAAAGATAAAGCAACAATATTTATAGGGGGGATAGCTAGACCCCTGAGCTTCCCATCCATACTTTCAAAGTGGCTTAATTGCATGCAGAGTGCTAGAAATTTAATGCCGAGCTTAGTTAACTTCAAACCTGCATAAGTCCGTTTTTTAAATGGAACACCATGTATGTTCTATATTCTGATACACAATTTTATTCTCTATAGGGTTCCCTATACCTATCTCTTCAAGTTTTTAAGTTATCTACTATTTTTTGTGTAATCACCTAAAATCATGTTATTCTGTTTTTAAGGAGACATATCCAAATTTGCCATCAATGAGTAGAAAAAGTTAAAAATTTTAGCAAATCTAGAGTATAGTCGAATTTGTGCAGAAAGAATTTTCCAAAACCAATAACTTCAAATGAAAATAATGTAATAAATGTGCTAGCCTATTTTAATGTTCATCTAGAATCCTCAACTCGTGCCGCAGAGTATGATTAAGGCATTTCACGAGCGTCCATTCACAGGATACTAAGAACTAATGATGTGCATCCATTCAAATTCAAGCTACTTTCTGCTCTTCATCCGGGTGACACTGTGCAACATATACAATTTTGTGAAACCGATGTTAGTGCGATACCAAGAAGATCCACAATTTTTGCAACATATTATATGAACAGACGAGTCAAAATTTACAAAAGAGACTTGATTTTTAATAGACATAATACTCATTTGTGGTCATCTGAAAATCCTCACATTATCCGGGAAAGAAACTTTCAAAATGATTACACAAAAAATAGCAGATAACTTAAAAACTAGAAGAGATAGGGAACCCTGATACCGTTCGAAAGAGAATAAAATTGTGTATCAGAATATAGAAAAACATACAGGGTGTTCCATTTAAAAAACCGACTTATGACGGTTTGAAGTTAACTAAACTTGGCATTAAATTTCTAGCACCCTGTATGCAATTAAGCCACTTTGAAAGTATGGATGGGAAGCTTAGGGGTCTAACTATCTCCCTTATAAATATTGTTGCTTTATCTTTCTTACTATAAACCCCACAATTGCAATCAATCTGTATGGGCAGTGCATTCTTCTAAAATAAAAATAAATCACATTTTTAGTGACACAAATCAGATTTTATAGAATACACTTTGATGATGAAAAATAAAATAATAAGACGAAAACCATAAGAATACAAAAATGAGAGAAAAAAAACTTGATAAAAGGTACTGTTTTTTGATAAAACAAAAACTAACATTGAGTAACCATCCACAAGAAAATATGAGCATATTTCCTAGAGGGGCTAAGGGATACTTTTGCAATTTATGCAAATGTAATTAATTAGTTGGTTACTCTTAAAAAGTGACATCTATATGTTAGTAATAGTATACTAAATTTCAGTTGTCAGGCAGTTATTTAAAAGAACTAAAATTTTTTGCCAACTTTGGCACACTCTACTAGCCAAATGGAGCAACTTTGAATAGAAATGCTACTCCCGTGGCTACGCCCATGGTCATCGATTGTTCAAGTATCCGATTAATCAAATAACCGATTATTCGATAATCTATTCAAACATCCGAATAATCGGATTCTTTCTTTATAGCCAATAACTATCATGATATAGTCTTAGTATTATGTAGTTATTGACACAGGCTACATAGTACATACGTATTAGAAGGGTTGAACTATTAAGGGAAACACAATTTATTTTTATATTTTATCCTGGGACACAGACACAGACTGATAAAAAAACAGTCGCCCACACCCACATACACCAAACGACTAAATCCATTAATATAAATAATAAATTGAAGAATCACAGTAACAAGTGCAACTGTTTTAACATTTTAACTTTTAACATTAGATTTAACTTTAAAATTTAAAATGTGAATATGTGAATAACATAACAAGCACCGATTTTCAGATATCCGGTTTTGGTCATTACTCGAGTAACGGGTTTCACCATTGACGCTTTTTTATAATTAGTTTGTCGAAGAGGGGTTCTGGCCAGATTGCCTTAAGGTTGCAAGGGTTCTTCCTATTCACAAGAAAGGGGACGCAGAAGTTTTAGACAATTTTAGACCTATTGCTATTGTTCCGATCTTTGCTAAGATTTTTGAAATTTTGATAAAAGACAAGCTACTTTCCTATTTGGAAAGTAACGCGATTCTATCCCCATTGCAGTTTGGGTTTAGGCGGAGCTTTTCTACCATTAGGGCTCTTCTTACTATAATAGAGGAGATTGTTGAGGGATTTGACAATAAAATTGTATCTCATGTTACATTATGCGATTTGACCAAAGCATTTGATTGCATCGATATTGAGATACTACTGCAAAAATTAGAATATTATGGTATTCGCAATAATGAATTGAATCTTTTTCGAACCTATCTATTAGGTAGAAAACAGTGTGTGAGCATTGACAATAAATTATCTACTCTTCTCCCTGTTGTAAGAGGAGTTCCTCAGGGATCTGTGTTGGGACCAATACTTTTCTTGATTTATATCAACGATTTACCTACAAATATTTCTAGTGGTACTTGTGTCCTTTTTGCTGACGACACTACTATTCTAACACCAGGAAATTTGAGCACAGACAGCTTGAATGAAGCAAAAACCTGGTTTTCAGCGAATAGATTAAAACTGAATGTATCTAAGACTCAACATATATCTTTTACATCAGATAAAAAATGTGCTAAATCTGATCCTGTAAAGTTGCTAGGTATTACCTTGGACGCTGGCCTTAGATGGACAGATCATATCCGTTGTTTGTGCTCAAAGCTTGCGACCCAGATATATGTTATGAGACAGCTGCGGCCTTCTGTGGATAGCAAAGTTATGCGAATAGTTTATTTTTCATTGATTCACAGTCATCTTCTTTATGGAGTTAATTTGTGGGGTAATTCAAGTTTTGCTCTCAAACCATTTGTCATACAGAAGGCCGCTGTTCGTCTTATCGCGGGTGTACCAAACTATACTCATAGTAGGGTTTACTTCCAAAAATTTAAGATATTGCCACTCCCG